AAAAAAAAAAAAGATATGAGAGTTTGACTAAGTTTGGCATGTAATAAAATATTATTATTATTATATATATATATAAATATAAGTTAACAATATATGCCAATAATCAAGCAAATTATAATAAATGTACCGTGTTATAATAGAGGATAATTAAGAAGCGAATAGTTACATAGCTATAACTAATTGCATATTGTTATAAAACTAGAAAGAAAAGAGAGAGAATAGAGAAAATATTTCTCTTAGGTGTGTTTTTCATTATAACTGAAGCTCCTATTTATAGGAAACTTCTGATGGCACAACCGTAATAATACAATTATATCGGGGACAAAATAGTCATTCACATACATAAAATTAATGGTGGTGGACCATATATATTTATAACACTCCCCCTTGAATGACTATTTTTTAAACATATTTGAATCATTAGTTAAACAAAACCCAATCTGCACATCTTCAAGCATATCTTGTGGCCATCAGGTACCATTGCTTCAGCATGTCAGGAAAACCCGGTGGGACAAAACCTGATCATCTTGAAATCATAACATTGCTTCCTCAGGAAAACCCCGTGGGACAAAACCTGAGTATTGTGGAAGCACAACATTGCTCCCCCTCAAATTGATCATCATTAGTGGAGTATCCATGTGCTGCCTCGTTAAAACCTTGTCAAGAAAACCCAGTGGGAAAAAAACTTGATCGAAGGAAAAAGAGTACAGCTACTCCAGTATCATCATGAGGAATCATATCAATAATCCAGTAGTCCTCATCATACCATGAATATGCCTCGTTAAAACCTTATTAGGAAAAACCCAGTGGGACAAAATCCTAATGAAGGAAAAAGAGTACACTATTCATGTGAATACGCCATCCCTGTTGCCTCATTAAAAACCTTGCTAGGAAAACCCAATAGGACAAAACCTCAGCCAAGGGAAAAAGAGTACAACGCGTATTCCATATATTCATCATAATAACATTTCCATAATTTTTATGAATATCATATAGATTCATTCAGATTTTCCGATACTGGTGGTATTTATGATAATATGTCATATCATGCTTTTGTGCAACTATCAACCGATTTCAATGGTCTTACTGCCAATAGTTCCCAATATTCTCATTTCATCTGATTTCATTCTCATCAATATCATTTCTATAGCGCTACTTATTTACTTGTGTCGACACATATTCATTTCCATTATTCCCCGTAATATATTCAGATATATCTCATTATCAGTTGAATTCATCAATAGTATATATGCCTCCTCTCATCACTTATTTGGGGAATTTCAATTTGCACAATACCAACGCTTTCAACGTATCTTTCCACTATCATATCATTTCATATATTTCACCACCATCAGTATCATTCAGTTTATGATTTGCACACTTTTAGTGTGATGCATATATAATTTCCAAAATTTCAATAATTGATTCTCCCCCTCATCTTAACAAATCTCTGATCTGTATTTTCAGTTTTGAGTTTCTTGAGAAGAGTTCATATAATCTCCATTTTGTTCTCGATTTCTACATATAATAGGAGGACTTTGAACTCATATCACTTGTAATGTGCACATTTTTCTTTCATGAGTTCATCATATGAGTTGATTATATTACTAGCTTCATCACTTTCATATGACACTTATTTTCATTCTTTCACAGCCATCTTGTGTCATTCTTTGATCAAACCATCTCGTAACTTCAGGTTACGTGTCATATACATAATCAAATCATCTCGTAACTTCAGGTTACTGATCACACACATGTGGCTATCTAGTGGATCCATAATATCTAGTAGCACACATGGAGGGGTAGTGGGCCCATATATATATCGTACCCCTTTCATACTCAGTTTGATCAAATATCGATTCACAAATATTTAGCTAGTAATAATTTAACCAATCGAGAACAAAACATCTCATAATCAGTTAATCATGCAAACCATCATAATTTATATCAGTAAACATCACAATTATTCATTGTGACCCATTAAACATATCACATCATCTTTCGGCGGCAATAAATGCACTTCAAGTGCAGATTCTGACCCACAATATTTAAATTCAGAACCGTATCACATGCATATCAATCTTTTTGTCAGACAGACTCTTTGTTTTTAGAGTCGTATAGCATACGCATCATTTCTATAAATTATCATACATTCCATTTAATCTTTACGAACAAAGGTCCGAATTTACATATGGATTTGGCACTCTCAAATATCCATAAATATTATTCTTGTGTTCCAGTAAATATCATAAAAAGAATTTATCGGTCTCGAATAGAAAGATTGAGGGTGCTAATGATTAATGATATTCCAGGCGATATTCGATGGTTGATTGAAGCAAAAGT